AGAACCTTGAAGTATATTTAAGCTTTTTTTTGTTAGCTTGAATAGTTGGGAAGGAAAAAAAAACATGAGTTTCTGTCTGAAATAGAATGGTACGTTACCACTTGTAAGTTTTAAGAAGTGACAGACGTTCACATGCATCTCAAATGCGATTTTACTTTTATCAGAACGCAAATAAGAAGCCATTGCCATAAGTTTTGACCATTTTTGCTTTATTAGACATGCTCCTTTTAAGTTTTAAGGTGAATCAAATATACAATACAGTATTAGGATATAATAAGCTTTGCTTTTATAGCACAGTTAAAGCAATTACTTTTTGCACCGTCTTAATTAAAATTTTTGATTTTATTACTAGTTGTATTGCTTTGCAAAAACCTTACCATTTGACTGTGTTGCTGTTTGTGTGTAAGTCGCTTCAAGGTTGTGCTGCTGTCTAGGTAGGATGTAGTGGTTTTAGTGATGGAGGGGAGGGTATTTATTCTACAAACTGTGAACTGCAATGACATCCTTAGTTTTGGATGGTGTGTATTGTTTTTCTTTGCAGCATTTTAATGAAGATTGCTTTGAAGTGTTTATGCAGTAGCACATTGACTATAAAATTTAGTTTAGCACAGAGGACAAAGGGTAGTTAAATTAATAAATTAAAATCAGTCTCTAACTTATACATCTAAAATCTAGTATTCCTGTAGGCACACAGTAAATAATGGGTAGCCTGGGCTCTATGTTGCTTTCTGATATTGTTAATCCAAGTGGTTAGCTTCTTATTGCTGTGTTGTGCTAAACTTTAAACCTTGTCTCTTTTGTTCCCTTCAGTATACTTTCTTTAATGTAGGAGGATACTGGGCATACTCTCCCATTGTTATAAGTTTAATTTTCACTCTGGGTTTACAGTGGCTGGTCTGTATAAATAATTTACACAAAGATGACTGAATGCTAGTACCAGTTGCACTTAAATGAAGATGCCCATTCTCATTAGCTGATGCAGTAATATATCCAGTTTATCTATGCATTGCTGGGGTCTTGATACAAGATGGAAACAGTGTTTCTTATCTAGAGTTTTGATTATCAGCAAGTTGAATGGACACTTTAGTTATTTAAATAGATTTTTGACCAAAATCCAGAAAATGATATGAGAGAAAAATAAATTCCAGCTAGTTTAACAGATTTTTAAATGTTAACCTGATTTTAGCCTCTTAGAGAGTGCTACCTAGCTGGTAACGTTTACTTTTAATTCCTTGTTAAAATAAGGCAATAATTTGCAAGATTTTTGTATATATATGTAAAGTAAATTCTTCATATCTTTTTAGATCTAATTCAATATTTTCTGACTACTCCTGCCATGTATAATACCATTTTTGTGCATGCTTGATGTGACATTCATAAATTGTACCACTATGACTTTATCCATGTAAAATAGCTATTTATTGAATTTTCTTTCAATGGCTGGACTTATTTTTTTTCTCCATTTTTAAACATCTTAACAGAGAATTTGTTACTGTTTATTAAAAGAATTGAGTTTGAAAGCATAAAAACATACCTGATTTGCAGTTGTATGAAGAAAAAGCAATGCCTTTATTATCAAGCATTAAGCACAATTCTTATAGCAAACTGTGATAAATTCTTTGGTTGTTTTTTTTTTTCATTTGCCGCAATATTTTCATATGAACAAACCAAAAATTCGTGGTGAACAGTTGCAGTGTCGGCTGATCCATCCTTTGTGCACAGGGATCGAGAGGACGGGGACTCGAGAGGAAGTGTGACTGGTGCTGTGACGATAGCAATACTTTCCTTTCGTTAGCTGTGCTTCGCCTTGTCACGCCAGCGTTTAAATGTTCGCTTTTCCTCTTGTCACGGTCAACTGCTGAGTTTACTTGAAGGATGTAGAATACTGTTTAAAAATACTAAAGTCTGTACAATTAGGTCAAAGAATTGTGCAATTGTTTCCTTTTTAATTTTTAAAATTGAAGGTCATGAATATTTGAGAACATGAGACCTAATAGAGTGGTAGTACTATTTAATGTAACCAAAGTCTAGTAAATATTTCAACTTTGAATGTAAACTAACAAACCCGACCACCACCGAGGAGGTTGTTTGCCCAGACTTTCAGAGCACATTGTCTACGAATGGAAATTGAAATAATTTATAAAATATTGACATTGCTATGTTTTTTAAAAAGTTCCTAATTTTTTCACTAAAAGGAGGGAAACTATTAGTTTTATTGTTAAATATGGTAGATATTAATATTCTTCTTAGATGACCAGTGATTCCAATTGTCCCAGTTTGAAATAAGTACCCTGTGAGTATGAGATAAATTAGTGACAATCAGAACAAGTTTTAGTATCCAATGTTCAAGAGGAAGTTGCTATTGTTGCATTGATTTTAATATTTGTACATAAACACTGATTTTTGAGCATTATTTTGTATTTGTTGTACTTTAATACCTGGTGTACAGTTCCAGAAATAAAATCTGGAAATCTGTTTTTCCTGGTTTGTGTGACTATTTGCCATAAATTTACAGCCATCTTAAACTATATATGCAAGATTATGTAGATATTCAGCTTGAGAGACAAAATGGCTTTCTTAAATCCTCTGTACTAGCTTTTGATCTATACTAATTCTAAGAACTCCTAAGTGAGGATTTTCACCATTCAGGAGGCAGTTACTGAATATCTGGTCCAGACAGTCTGAGGCAGCTGTATTTTGGGAAGACAGAACTGAAATACAATGAGACATCAAGACTTAATTACTCTTTTATTATAATGTTCATAATCCCATTGCCTCTGGTCATAACTTTCCCAAGCCTTCATCTTCTCAAGCTGAAGATTTTACTTAAATCCTGACAGTCCCAGTTCCCGTATTAATATCCAGATTGCACACGATATCTAGAGTTTACACAAAGCAAGCTAAAGATTAAAAAACCTTAACCCAGCTGGGCATTGGTGGCGCTTGCCTTTAATCCCATCACTCGGGAGGCAGAGACTGGTGGATCTCATGAGTTCGAGGCCAGCCTCCAAAACAATACAGAGAAACCCTGTCTGGAAAAACCAAAAAACCAAAACTTTAACCCTTTTGCTTTTGTTGCTTGTGCAGAAAGAACTACATCCCTCTACTTCCAAACACCACAGTGCCTTCCTGTGACACATTTGTGTGGGCACAAGCTCCATGAGTATTCTAAATACAGCTAAGTACCATGTGACAGCTACATGGTACTCCAGGCTTTGGGGGAGGGAGAAGCTGTGGAAGCAGAAAAAATCTCTAGTGACTTCTAGGGATTCTATGGCACAAATGACTTCCTGACTTCCTTGTGTCCATTCCTGGTTGGACCTAACATGAACATGAGCCTTCAAGTCTTACGTGCTATGGAGAAAATGGGGACAAAGTAGGACTGTCAGGTAGGAAAAGGAGTTAAGGTTGCAGGAGACAAGCCTCAGTGAGGGGATAGGTTCCTAGGTGATCCAGCACTTGGGAGGCAAAGGCAGAGAAATGCTTGAGTTTCGAGGTCAGTGTGGTCTACAGAACTAGTTCCAAGTCATCCAGGACATCCTCTGCACAGAAATACAAAGCAGGAACAGGTGTCCCTGCCACCAACCTGGTCTTTAACAGTGTCCCATACTGAAAACATCTCTAGTGCTCCTTTCACCACCCCACCTCGTGTAGAAGTGTTCAGTGAATATATGGTGGATATGACTTGTATCCAGTTACAATGACTTGTAAATCACACACGGAGACATTCTCAAAAAGCAAACGAACCAATCAACCAACCAACCAAAATCCCTTTCTTGGTGATATATTCTGCAAGAGGCAAGAGTGGAAAGAGCAAATTAGAAAACTACTAAAAATTGCAACAAACGAGGCAAACAAAGAAGTTGCATAGCTGTGACCGTTGTTAAAATCTGATTCTACAGTTTCCCTAAGGATGGAGGGACTAAGTGAATGATGTCATCCTATCCAAGCTGGGATGTGAGTTGGAGCAGGGCTCAGGTGGATGGGATCAAAGAAACCATTATGAGTAAAACTCTGGGCCATACAGCTTCAGGACTGAGTGCAGCTTGACTGGCTTCATAGTATAGTACTTTATCTCTAAGTACAGTCATTTGGTGAACACCTGGGCTGGTGGCACTGCACAGAGTCCAGAGCACTGAAGGGCGTGAGCCACAGATGTCACTCTTCTCCAGTGGGCAGAAAAAGGTGATGAACACTACCAATAGAAGCCCCCCCTCCACAGGAACATGAGACAGGAACAGGCATTCCTGCCACCAATCTTAATAGTATTCTCACACTACAACAATCTCTTACACTCCTTTTAATCTCCTACCTTGGTGTAGATAGAGGAAGGAGGAGGATGACCCTTGGACGGTTTGTAAATTATGCGTGTACATTGACTTACTCATGGCAACATGATAGTTTCGTTTTTCTTTATTCTGTAAAAAGGTAAGTTTTCACAGACACTTGCACACATCAACAGTGTTGTGAGAATTTCTGGGGCTGGAGAGAGAGCTCAGCAGTTAGGAGCATTTTGCGGCTCTTCCAGGGAATAGTTTGGTTCCTAGCACCCATGTCAGGCGAACTGGGTGACACACAACTGCCCGTTAACCCAGCTCCGAAACATCTGACACCCTCCTCAGATCCCCACCATGCTCTGCTTCATAATTTAGTTTGAAAATATCAGGAACTAAGGGTTCCAGACAGTCACTCGGTTAAATGAAGGAGCCAGGTCTCTTACTTGTACTGTAGTCAGAGAGTCAGGGTTTTCCTGTGGGAAAGTCCAGCTAAGGAACGACGACTCACAAACATAGCAGCAGAAAGGGAATACTAGCCCAGGATGAGTGTCTAAGGCTGTACTACCACACCGACAAAATACGCTGGAATCGTTCTAAAATAATGATGGAAAGCTACCTTTTCTCAAGAACGTACAGCTGCTTGAGTACAGTTATTCAGTTGCCTTTGTATCCAGTCACGTCATGAAGAATTAGCCATTGTTGCACCTCCTGTCAAAAGCCCCATTATGCCAACTTAGGGTCTGAAGGACTGCTTACATCCTGTCCTATAGCCAGTGGATTGGTAATTTCTGATGTCGGCCCTGTACCGTCACTCATTCTTAAAGGGCCGAGTTGGTCTGTCTCAGTGAAAGATGTAGAGGAGTATTAGCTGAGAGCACTCTGTATATTAAAGTAGAATCCAAAAATGTTCAATGACCCTACAAGTACTGTTTCCTTCCAAAAAGTTTTTGTCTGCCAACCAAGCAACTACATTGCCACATAGCAGCTAGCCATCTGAATGGATTTTTACTCAAAGTACAAATGGTTACACCATAACCCTTAGGACAAATATGGCTCTACATCTGATAACTGAATTTGAATATGGATATTATTGGAATACAATTTTTGATACTACTTTGTCATTTTCATCAATGTATATCCTATCCAAGCATCTAAAGCTAAATGGATTTCCAATGGGAAAGAATTGGCTCATACTTCTGATATACTGTACCTAGTATACAACAAGGCAGAGACAAAGCAACATGTAAAACTAAAATATTCTGATAAGGACATTTTTAATTATAAATCTAAAATAGAGGAGTCTGTTTTAGTACTTCCATCTTTAAACATAACTCATTAGTGTATATTAATTGCATAAAATAATGGGTTATTATGGCACTCTATATATGTTCTTCCATCTTTTTAAACAGTTAATTTCCAGTTTAGAACTTCATGGTTTTGAGGGAATTATCCCTTTACAGAGCTTGTTTCTAAAAGATGATGAAGCACAGAACCAACTGTCCATATAGCAGACAGAATCTAATTATCTTACTTAATGAGAGTATGAACAGCATATTTTAGGTTCAGTTTTACTAAGTTTTATACATATATATATATGCCCACACATATTTATTTATACTATGATTTGATATCCACCGGAGAGTTAATGGTTAATGTAGATTTATATAGGAATAGATGAATCTAACTTTCAGGCTGTATGTTTTTTCTTTTACTGGCAAAGAAGGAAAAGAGAAAATATTGGGAGTCTTATGACCAAAAAGATGGCCCTACAAATGCAATTCTCATCAAACATTATATTATACTTTTCAACACACAACACAATTCATAATTATGAAATTATAATTTTAAAAAGTATGGAAACTTTGGTTTCCAATTCAAACCTTTGCTCTGATTGCAAGGCTAGGCATTTTGTTGAACTTTATCGAATATAAGGAACTTTGGCAGTATTAAGTGAACTGTTACCAGAATACATAGACACAACCGCCCCTTTTGGTACCAGTCCTTTAGTGACAGGACAACTCTTCCTATGGAAGTCAACCAACACTGAAACCCAAGTCTTTTTTTTTTTTTTTTTTTTTTTTTTTTTGGTTTTTCGAGACAGGGTTTCTCTGTGGCTTTGGAGGTTGTCCTGGAACTCGCTTGGTAGTTCAGGCTGGTCTCAAACTCACAGAGATCCGCCTGCCTCTGCCTCCCGAGTGCTGGGATTAAAGGTGTGCGCCACCAACGCCCGGCCCCCTGAAACCCAAGTCTTAAAAAGCATGTCTTCTGGTTGAATGATACTTTGCTATTCCAGTCTATTGTTAAGCACTTTCATCCTTTATTGCTGAACTCACAGTAGGTGTTGATATTTTGACTCAACATGTTCTGGAAGTACGTGATTGTTTACGGCAGTCCTTTAAAAATAGAGCCTGCCCAGATGTCACCTGGCCTCTGGTGGCAGTACAGGCCACTAAGATAAGGACAGCCCCAGCAACAGCATGGCCCCTGGACATCAACATAGCCTCAGGTCCCGGGGGTACAGACTACGGGCATCCCACACATGGCCCTCAGCTGCAGCTCTGGCCCAGATGTCAGCATGGCCCTGGGTGGCAGTGCAGGCCACTCAGATTCGTATGGTCCCAGTGGCAGCATAGCCCTCAGGCAGCACCAACATGGATTCAGGTGTTGGCCGTGACTCCAAGGCATCCACACGGCTTTCAGAGGAGGCCCTGACAACCAACTCAGCTACCACCCAGGCCACAGCCCAGGCTTAGAGTTGGCCCACCACAACATCTAGGACCTGCTGGAGCGCATGGAGCGATTGGTCCTGCTGAACCGCAGCTGCAGGACCTCCTTGACTTGTGGCAACAGCAGGATATCTGAGAGAAGCTTCAGTGAGGGTCCACTATTGATGGTGTACCAGAAGACAGAGACTTTGAACCAGACCTGCTGGTTCAACTCATTGCAATGAACGTTTGCAAATAAAGCTGTTGGGGCACAGGCTATAGACACTTCGTGACACACCTCAGCTCCCAAGGCCTCTACGACAAAAGAATATGTGATGGAGACGTGAAAAAGACAGAGGAGTGAAATGTTGTTATCTTTGAAATTGTATTGGGGTGGGGAAGGCTACAAGAGTGGAGGGTAGATATGGGAGGACTGAGAAACGAGTAGGATTGGGGTGCATGATGTCAAATTACCAAAGAATCAATACAAAAAAAACTATGAGAAAAAAATAGAGCCTGGGAAACCTTCAGTAACATTCCTAGTTCATCTTCACCTGAGATAATTTGTCTTTGGATTCCTCTGGAATGTATGGAAGAATACGAAAAATGGGAAAAGTTTCCATTCACTACCCTATCAATCGACGGAAGTCAGTGTTCTTAATGTGTTCTGGGTTATTGGCCTTAATGAACGAGGCTATTCTCAGGTACGGAGAGGACATTAGAAAAAGCAATTGTTTGGGAAAGCTCCAGGTTACCTGACTCCCAGTTTTATGAAAAGGTCTTTTCTGTTCAACAAGCTGTTGAGCACTAACATACTTTATTGCGGTTTTTTTTTTCAATTAGAAGATGCTTTATTGGCAGAGTAGACCACTTCCTAAAAATACACAAAAACTGAGAGTAACAATCAACAAATGGGACAACCTGAAGCTCAAAATTATTGCGTTTTTTTTTTTGTAAAGAAACCAAGGCATGGAAATGTTAGGGAACTTGCCCGAGGTAGTAAAGCTGTAAATGTAGCTCAGCTTTCCCTCAGAACATTCGTTATTTGAATGTTTTCAAATAATAAGAACCCTCGTAAACTTTTTACCATAGGCATTTTCTTTTTTAAGGCAAACTTAATTCAACTTCACACCCTTCGTCATATTCTCTCTTAACTTCTTTGACTAGTATCACTTTTACTTCTGAAACTTTTTTTTTTGAACGAACTGTTGCTTCTGAACCAAAAAGGAGGCAACTCTCTCTCCCCAATTCCACAGTAACCATGCATCGGAATTCACGGCTCTGTGGTGAGACGCTTCGGGAAAGCGCTTGTGTGTCGCGTCCCAGTTTCTCAGGAAACTGGCTTTCAGGGTCTTCCGCGTAGACCGACTGAGGTCAGCGGCCCGAGGTTGCACCCCGACTTGCCGGCAGTCGCTTTCTGCACGTTTCTGTGCATTAGTCCCTCCAGCCTGTTCTGACCCGGTCTGGGCCATTTTCAACCCAAGATTCCCTTCTACGGAGCGGTGAAGATGAGCCGCGGCTTTTCTGAGGAACAAGCGCGTCACTATGACGGGCTGAGGAAAGGTCACACCCCCACTTTGGGAGCTCCCACTCGCTCCGCGCCAGCGTCCCTGCAAGGGCGCACTACGCCACGAAAAAAAGCGCGCGTGAGGCGCAGCGGCGCGGCGCACGCTGGGAAAGCGGGCACAGGGCCCGCCCCGTAAAGTGGTCGTCAGCCCGCCGCCCCAACCTCCTCGCTACCCAGTCTCCGGGCCCCGCCCACGTTAGGCTCCACCCACGTCAGGGCCCGCCCCTTCGTCCCTCCCGCCTCCGCTGCCCTTGCTCCACCCACCTCAGGCTCCTCCTCCTGCGACCACCCGCCACACAACTTTGGCCGTCTCCCCGGCTTCCACCTACGTCAGGCTCCGCCCCTTCGTCCCGCCTCGGCCTCCCCAGGCACCACCCACATCAGGCTCCACCCATTCGTCCCGCTCTCCCCCGCCTCGGCCTCCCCAGGCACCACCCACGTCAGGCTCCGCCCCTTCGTCCCGCCTCGGCTTCCCCAGGCACCACCCACATTAGGCTCCACCCATTCGTCCCGCTCTCCCCCGCCTCGGCTTCCCCAGGCACCACCCACGTCAGGCTCCGCCCATTCGTCCCGCTCTCCCCCGCCTCGGCCTCCCCAGGCACCACCCACATCAGGCTCCGCCCATTCGTCCCGCTCTCCCCCGCCTCGGCTTCCCCAGGCACCACCCACGTCAGGCTCCGCCCATTCGTCCCGCTCTCCCCCGCCTCGGCTTCCCCAGGCACCACCCACGTCAGGCTCCGCCCATTCGTCCCGCTCTCCCCCGCCTCGGCCTCCCCAGGCACCACCCACATCAGGCTCCACCCATTCGTCCCGCTCTCCCCCGCCTCGGCCTCCCCAGGCACCACCCACATCAGGCTCCACCCATTCGTCCCGCTCTCCCCCGCCTCGGCTTCCCCAGGCACCACCCACGTCAGGCCCCGCCCATTCGTCCCGCTCTCCCCCGCCTCGGCTTCCCCAGGCACCACCCTCGTCAGGCTCCGCCTCCACCGCTCGCCCGCCTCAGCCCCGCTGGCAGCCTTGGCTGCGGGAAGTCGTGCGATCTCGCTGTTCGCCCTCTCTCCTCGGGTTGTGGCTTAGGTTAAGCACCATCTAGGGAACGAAGCGGCGCCATCGCGGACACACACCCTGCAAGAGGCCGCCCGGCATGGGCTGCTGGGCGTGCGATGCCCAAGAAGGCCCGGGAGAGGGGGGCCCTCCTCCCCACAGCCCGCTCAGCCAAGGGAATGGCCGGGCTGCTCTGTCCTGCCCTCAGTACAACCGTCCTCGGTGTCCCGCGTGGCCCGGCTTCGGAGACCGGGGGACCGCAGAGCTGGAGCAGCCCGCGGATGCCCGCTCTCGGTCTCTGCGTTCTTGCTCTCACGTGCAACACCGATCTTGGTAGTACGCGAAGGGTCACCAGACTTCAGGGCATCATGCCCTCTAGGAACGCGCCCTAGGAGGGGACCCCTTGGTTTGTCCCCCAGGCTTGTTCCTGCTGCTTGTCTGGCATCTGGCTGTGTTTTCCGCTGCCCTCAGTCTGCTCAGCCCCTACTCTCTCTTTGCCTGTACGCAGCCGGAGTCTTCCCGAACAAGTTTCAGCCTTATCCGAGACGCCAGGAGCTTCTAAGAGCGAGCAGATCCATTCAAAGGGTTTTCTTTTTAAAATATTGATTTATTACATGTGCATTAGTGATTTGCATGCATGATGTAGATGCATTGTGTGCTTACCTGGTGCCTGCGGTGGTCAGAAGACATCGGATACTTTGGAATTGGAGTTATAAATGGTTGTGAGCTACCATATGGATTCTGGGAACCGAACCCTGGATTTCTGCAAAAGTGCTTTTAACCACTGAGTTATTGAAGCGCTATGTAAATCTATAAACATAAGAGCAAAATACGTTGTTTGCACTTCATTCTCCTAAATATCCAAAGTCAAAACACTAGGCAAAATGTTTTCTAAAGGAGCTTTCAAAGGTATAGTTGTTATATGATAAGCCACACACACTTAAACAATTTGCTAGGTCTTTTGCGCATGCATTAATCAAAATCAAGATTGCAAACATACTATCATTTTCAAAAACTCTGTAGAACTTGCTCTTACCATTCCTGTCTGTTCTTCTACTGCCAGTGCCCAAGTGACCACTAAGCATTCTGTCATTGGATTAATTTCATCATGATATGTTATTCTTTAAATTATAATATTGTTTAGAAGTTTGGCATATGTATATATGAGAGATATGAATATGTAATCTTGTGTTGATGTCTTTTATCCATTTTTTATATTTAGAGTAATACTAGCCTCATGAAATGAGGTGTTCGGAAGCTGTCCCTCCAAAGGTGACATTTGAAAGAAGTTTTAGAACTCACCCGGTGCACACAGGAAGCACCCACGTGTGTTAATAAATCAGGTGTCCACATAACAGATTTGGACAAGTTCAGTCCCAGTGAGGGCAGCCTATTAGAATTCCTGGACCATCTTCAAATCAACATGTGTTATTAAAACGTGGATGTGTTGTTACTATTTCTTCAGGCATGGGGGTAGCTTCCCTGCTCTTTGCTTGAGAGTGAAAGTGAATCCCAATCTGAAGTTGGAAACAAATGGCTCAGATTCAGTGAAAATTCAGGCAGACTACGGAGGCCTTGGAGCTGATTGACTCTATTCCAGAGATGCAAGGAGAATGTAAGAATGTCTGCTTATATCTCCTCTAATGCCATGAAAGGTGGGGCAAACTTAGAGGCTTTCCCACTGGGCTCTGCTTTTACCAAGGGTATAGATCAGATTTATCTGACCTCTTAATGGAGTTGGTTCACTTCCAGGATGTGTTTTCCAGACTTACTAATGGCATATGAACAGAATGTCTTTATGATCTCCAAACTTACTCAGAACCAAAAATAAGAATTAATAGAATTTTTATTTCTATCAAGTACATCTCTCTGGTGCTCTTTTGTTTGTTTTGTTATTTTGGGGACAGGATTTCTCTGTAGCCCTTGCTGTCCTGGAACTCGCTCTGTAGTTCAGGCTGGTCTCAAACTCATAGAGCTCCACCTGCCTCTGCCTCCTGAGTGCGGGGATTAAAGGCGTGCGCCACCACCACCAGGCATCTCTGATGCTTCTAAAATTAAAATTAAATTTTAGTTCAGTGAGGAACCTGTGGAAACTAGAGTAACACCATGATGGCTAAAGCTAAAGCTATCCCACTACTCCTGGCTGGTCCTCATCATCCCTACTCAGCGGTTGTCAAGGTGATGTGTTTTCTGCAGGGTTTATTTGGGGGCACTGAGGTACCTTTGTTTGTTCCTGTAGACCCATAGCATTCTGTGTGAGTTTTTAAATTTTCTTGTAGGTGTAATTTGTGGAATATTTAAAATTCAATTTTTGACTTTCTAAGAATTTTTATCTTAATTTTCAGTGAATGATATCAAATGTTTCCCCTAATAGTTACTAAGGTGGTGGGCTACTGGTTTTATTTGCATTCTTCTGTTATTGTCAAGAATTATAGGTGTGCATTCTCAATACCGAACCATCCTTAGGAGTCTGAGATAAATCTACTAACTTACGACGGTAAGACCCTACAGATAGCTTTCTAGGCTATTGCTCTTAACCAACATTTTTTTTCTTTTTAAATTTACAGAGAGAGTTTTCCAGTAAAACTGTCTGGGTTTGTAGTTTACTTTGACACTGAGTTCAGTTTTGCAACAGATGAGAAGGCTATTCAAAATTTCTTTCCTCTTGTGTAACATTGTGCTAGTTTTTTTTTTAGTTAAATCTGTTAGTTTAGTCTAGGTTTTCTGATTTGTCAGTGTGAAATTGTTCAAAATGTTCTATTACTACACATTTAAATTTGTAATTAATTTTTCAGTTATACAATGAAATGGGTTTAATTATGACATTTGCATACTTATAAATCTCAAACTTTGTTCCTATTCACCTACTAGCGCCATATTCTACTCCTCTACCCTGCCTTGCTGATCTCTTTCCCCTGAAAACGGTCTCCTTCTGCTTTCATGTCATATGTATGCATTGTTAACTATAGATTCCACACATTAGGGAATACTATACATTTTATTTCTAACTCATATTGCTACCTACTGTTCCCTGCTCTCTCTTCATAGTCACTCTTATAGTTTTATATCATTCATGATTACATTTAAATATATAAAATCTTCAGCTCCATCCATTTTCCTGTAAATATCATCCTTCCATTCCTCTTTATGGCTGACTAAAACATCATAGTGCTATATACCAGATTTTTTCTAGCCATTCACCTGTTAATGGGCATCTGGTCAGGTACTGTGTCATGGCTGTCATGAATAGTGCCCTGGTAAACGGGAGTGTGCAAGCATCTCTGTGGCATGCTCAGACTCCTTCAGGTGCATACTCAGGAGAGACAAAACTACTAGTCATATGGTAGTTCTATTCTAAGTGTGTGTGTGTGTGTGTGTGTGTGTGTGTGTGTGTGTGTGTTTGCGCTCCATAGCAATTTCCTTACTGGCTGCACCAGTTTCCAGTCCTACCAGCAATGGATAATTGTTCATTTTTTGTCAATAATTAGGTACTCCCGCTTGCGAGGGTTTATCCCTAGGTCCTCCATTCTGTTTTGTCGGTTTACCAGTATGGTTTTCCCCCCTCCCGAAATCTTGCTGGCTTTGTTAGAGTGGCTCTATAATATATATTGAGATTAGCAGTTGTGATGCTCGTGGACTCATTCTTTCTGCTAGGGGTTGTTCTGGCTGTTTGAAAATGGCTGTGCTTGCATGTGAATTTTAGGATTATTTTCTACTTCTGTGAATCACAGAGTTGAGGTTCTGTAAAGTGTTATAGGATGTCGTGATAGACATGTTACAGAATCGATATATGACTTTTGCCAATAGGAATTCTGGCGATTCATGAGCACAGAAATCTTTTCAACTTCTAATGTCGTCTTCTATTTCCTTGGTTTTTTAAGCTTTAGTTTATTTCATGGGCATGATTATTTTGTCTGCATGTACGTATGTGCACCATACGCATGCCTGGTGGACTTGAGGCTCAGAAGAAAGCACTAGATCCTTGGAACTGGCGTTACTGGAGTTACAGATGGCTGTAAGCCATCAGTAGGGCTTTGTTTCTCTTGAATAGCAACAAGTGCTCAGCCATCACCCCAGCTCCATATTTCTTCAGCTTTAACGTATTCATTGTGATGACTTTCACCTCTTTGAGTAGGCTTATCAGCAGGTGTTTCATTGTTTTTAAAGCTACCATGAATAGGTTTTTTTTTCTCCTACTGGTGTCTTTCTTGGCAGATTTCCTAGTGGTATATAGGACGGCTGCTGATTTTTATGTTGACTTTGTATCCTGATACTTTATTAAAAGTGTTGATTATAGTGAAGAGGTTCCTGGAATCTTTAGAGTTTAAGTATAGGCTCATACCCTCTACAACAGGAGTAGTTTGACATCTTCCTTTCCTATATGAAGCCCTTTTTTTTCTCTCTCTTGCTTTATTCCTCTAGCTAACATGTCAAACAGTATATTGAGTACGAGTGGAGACACCAAGCACTCTTATCTTATTCCTAAGTTTAGAAAGTATGTTATCAGTAATATTGGCTATATTTTTGTATTGAGGTATGTTCCTTTTGCTCCTAGTTTCTTCAGGGCTTTTATTATGAAGGGATGTTAGGCTTAAGTGGCAGACGTTTTCTACATCTATGGAGATGATCCTGTGATTTCTGACTTTGATTCTATTTTATGTGTTATATTACATGAATTAATTTGTGTATGTTGAACCATCTTTCTGTTCCTGTTTGTGATGTGTGCTCTTTATATGTTCTTAAATTCAGTTTACCAGTGCTTTTGTGCTGAAAGTCTTTTTTTTTTTTTTTTTTTTTTTTTTTTGGTTTTTACGAGACAGGGTTTCTCTGTATTGTTTTGGAGGTTGTCGGTCCAGCCTGGCCTCGAACTCACAGAGATCCGCCTGCCTCTGCCTCCCGAGTGCTGGGATTAAAGGCATGCGCCACCACCGCCCGACTGTGCTGAAAGTCTTAAAATGCTTCATTAAAAGGAGAAAAGTGATTTCATGCAAATTAGCAAAAGCCACCTTTTCCTTCAGCCAACAGGAGTAGTTTGACATCTTCCTTTCCTATTTGAAGCCCTTTTATTTCTCTCTCTTGCTTTATTTCTCTAGCTAACATGT